ATCCCGCATTTTAATGTGATTGTATTTTAAACTCATTCTAAACTAATATGTACAATTATATACTAACGTTAAATGATAAGTCGATGAAGGGTCATGACCCAATAAAATAGTCATAATCTTATCAATAGACTAGGCCTAGAAACTACTATACTATTAAAATGCAACATTTGTTTTATTATAATGACATTTAATAAGTGAACGGGAAATATATAGGACACAATTCTGTGGAATACAAGTACTGTTTTAATATTACTGAGCGATGTCTCATTGCTTTATATAGACTAGAGAAGCCTAGTCGAATTTCTAGCTGAAATTGTATTCCATAGAGTTGTGTCCTGTGCAATACTTTATTTATGTAGTCTTTTTTATTGTCCACCGTCTTTTGAAGAAAGCAGGGTACTATTAAAATGGGTTCGTCCGTCTGTCTGTCACAGTTTTTGGGGCACAATAACTTTTAATTGAGCTAGAATGTTCAAACTTGGTGTAGGTGTTTATTAGGCCGATACCTGGATAGAGTTCAAAGATGAGGATTTTCTGCTTAAGATAAGCAGAGATAAGCAATTTGATTGTTTGATGTTTTGGGACACGATAACTTTGGTTATAATTAAGTGAGAGCTATGAAACTCTGAGTATAGATTCATTATAGAATTACCTTGACTAAGTTTGATGATAAGACCTTCTTCTGCTTAGACTAACACTGTAACCCAGGTATCGTTTAATCTTGTGTATCTAGCACTAATTTCTTTCACATTCGTTTAATATCAAATCTTTGTTTAAAAATTCGTAAAAATCGTTTAAAATCACCAAAAATCATCTAATTTACAAGTATTTAATTTCCTGATCACTGTTCAAAAATTAATCATTATACATCATTAATCAATTGGGTTGTTTATTTTTTAACAATGATTGAGAAATTAAACACTTGTAAATTGGACACTCATTATCAAAATTGACTGGTCATCTTTAAACTCGACAGATGTACAAATTCAACGATTTATGGTGATTTTAAACAGTTTTTACAAATTTTTAAACTAAGATTGGATATTAAACGAATGTGAAAGAAATTAGTGCTAGATACACAAGATTAAACGATACCTGGGTTACAGTGTAAGGAGCGATAAGCAATTTGATTGGTCAAAACTTTGGAACTCTGCTTTTAATTGAGGTTGATGTTCAATGGGTAGTTCAATGATGGCTGAATGGTTATAGTGTGTGCGCTGCATCATAGAGTCTGTCATTCCGTGTTGTAGTGACAAGGCATAGGGTGGCCGGTCCTAAAATGACCTAGTTTGTGTCAAGTGGACCTTATACCCTCGGCCAATCCAACATGGTAACTGAAAGTTTATACATGTATTTCTTTGAAAAAATATCACAGTGGTTCATGACACTTGCACAGTACTAGGATAAAGGTGTACTAGAGTCTTTCACCCCAATTTAATCAGTTTTATTCACTAACATAATATATGTATATCTGAGACTGCTTCTTTAGTTAGTACTGAGTACACTGTACCTGCATCAAATCTTTTTTTTTTTTGAATTTACAGAGTCGTTTCAAATGGCTCTTAATATTTCATTTAATAATGTACATCTATCATTACATGTATGTTTTAAAATGGCTAATAGTTTTTCATCAAACTGTTTTTATGATGGATGGGAATACAAAGCGGTCTCTTGTGGCTTTTCGTTATATTGATTATCGAAGCTTTACATGGTTATGCAATCGATAAGATGGAAATTCAAACAAGATATATGGACTTATAGATTTTTTTAAATACCAGATATTATCTAAGACAAAAAATAAGAACTTTTTCTTGTCTTACATGTACGTCATCAATCTATACTGCGATCAATATTGTTGTTGATGGAGAAGTACATGTATATGCGAAGAGGATCTAACTAAGGACATTATCTCATGTAACAGTTTGTAAAATTGATTATTCCATAGTGTGTAAATATTATGGAACATGTTAAAAGCTGACGTTACCCGCCTGCAACTACCTGATCTGATTAGTTATTTTAGCTTGTACATCGTACTAGAAATGTAGATTATAGTGCTCACACAAATATTCAAATTCAAGTGGTTTTTCAGGGCTATTAGAACTGATTTTGTCGACAGTATACAGGTCACAATTTTTATCCGATTTTGCAAAACTTGAAATATAAGTCCATCTCCCAAAGATCTCAGCTCCTTTCGATATTGGCATGTATTGGATTATGGCCCCTGATTGTACGAAAAATCACGTTTTTAGCTTGTGGACACTCTAGAGGTCACAATTTCGATCCGATTTTAATGAAACTTGAAAAACATATTTATATCACGAAGACTTGGATCCTCCTGATAATCGCGCATATCCAAACGTAACTTCCAGGATTATGGCCCCTGATTGTATGAAAAGTCGTGTTTTTAGCTTGTGGTCCCTCTAGAGGTCACAATTATTATCTGACTTAAAAAATCGTTCGAATAAATCACTGTCACACCGTAATGTTGGTTGAGTTGAAATTTTGTGAAAATGGGACCAAAACTGCTGGACAGAATGGCCGCCCCCTCGTACGCAAATAGTGTAAAACATATGGTATATCAAGGTTGCGGACCCTCTATAGGTCACAATTTGTTCCGATATTGATGAAACTTGAAATACATTTTTATAACCCAAAGATCTTGGTTCCATTCGATATTCTCGCATATCGGATCATAGCTTCCTCAATAATGGCACTTGATTATACGAAAAGTCACATTTTAGCTTGTGGTCCCTCTAGAGGTGGAAATTGTTATCCAATTTTAAAAAAAACGTCCGAATGTATCACCGTAAGTAACACCGTAATGTCGGTTAACTTCAAATTTCATGAAAATCAGACCAAAACCGCTGTACAAAATGGCTGCCCCTCGTACATAAATAGTGTAAACATATGGTATATATCAATGTTGTGGAACCTCTAGAGGTCACAATTTTGATCCGATTTTGATGAAACTTTAAATTTATGTTTATATCACAAAAACATTGGTTCCTTTCGATAATCACACATATTCGAATGTAACTTCCTGGATTATGGCCCCTGATTATTTGAAAAATCACATTTTTAGCTTCTGTACCCTCTAGAAGTCACAATTAGTATTCAATTTTAAAAAACCTTTTAAATATATCACTGTTAAGCATCAATGAAAGTTGAGTTCGAATTTCGTAAAAATCTGACCGAAAATATTGGACAAAAATGGCCAGTCCTTGTACGCATTAGTGGACACTGTAGAAGTCACAATTTTTACCGATTTTGATGAAACTTGAAATGTACATGTATGTTTTGATATTTGTGCATATGTGACAGTAACTTCCAGGATTATGGCCCCTGATAGTACGAACAGTCATGTTTTTAGCTTGTGGACCTTCTAGAGGTCACAACTTTTACCCCATTTTAAAAAACGATAAAATTTATCACTGTTACACCATAATGACGGTTAAGTTCCAATTCGTGAAAATCAGACCAAAACTGCCTGAAAAATGGCAGCTCCTTGTATGCAAATAGTGTAAAATTATGTCCACCAAGGTTGTGGACCCTCTAGAAGTCACAATTGTTATCAATTTTGATGCAGCTTAAAATATATGTTTGTTTATGTCCCAAAGATCTCGGTTCCTTTCTCTATTTGCACATATCAGACTGTAACTTCCTGGATTATGGCCCTGATTTGAGGGTTAAATCTTGTTTTTTAGTTTGTGGATTCTCTACAGGTCGCAATTTTTTTTATCCGATTTTAAAAACCGTTTATATTTCACCATTCCACCATATTGAAGGTTGAATTTCAATTTCAGGAAAATCGAAACGAAACTGCCCAACAAAATGGTGGCTCTTTGTACCCAAATTGTGTAAAATTTTATGCAAATTGTGTAAAAATTTATGCAAATTGTGTAAAATTTTATGCAAATTGTGTAAAATTTTATGCAAATTGTGTAAAATTATGTAATACGAAGGTTGTGGAGCCTCTAGAGATCACAATTTTTATCCTATTTTGATGTACATGTAACTTAAAATATATCTTTATGTCCCAAAGATCTCAGTCCCTTTCAATATTTGCGTATTTCAGACCAAAACTTTCTGGATCATGGCTCATGATTGTACAAAAGATTGCTGTTGTTTTTAGCTTATTCTCTATCTCTTGCTAAATGTGGGCGTATCTTGCCTAGCAACCACTGGTTTGTATTCATTATTCAATGCCAATTAAATCTAAAGGATGATTTTTGTTAATAAATGCTTATTGTTAATATGTTACTTTTTTATGTACATGTATCCAAGAGTCACAAACTGTCTTAATTGTAGCTTTATCTGGTCATTGTTTTTATGGTATACAAATTCATATGATGGATTTCACAGAATTGCCATGTACTCTTTGAAAGAAGTGCTTGCTAATCTGACATGCACAAAATACCGCTAAACATGTACACTGTACATAGAAAATTGATTGACTGGATCTGCTTGCACATATTCAGGGCATGATCTCTCTTCAAAATTTTCCAGTTGGACGGTTTTACACAAATTTCAACCAAATATTTATCTGAAATTTTTGGAGATGATATGTAGCTAATTATGGTATTTTCGTCATTGTTTCAATACATGCATTAATGAATGCAGCCTTAAGAATTGTTAACAAGTGTGACTGGCAGGAGCATGATGTAAATTTTTCATCCTGTCATTTTCAGTGGAGTCATATGACATTATGACAACCAATGAGAATTCTTGTGATAATGCTTGTAGTGTACGTACAATAAGATTGTAAAACAACCTGAACTCCCTAAATAAATGAGAAGTGTTATTCAGTGTTTATGAAGAATACACATGATCTACCTTCTGTATGCCCTTCATCAATGCTCATTATTATAGCCAAGCTTAATATCACTTATGCATAATTTTAAATGGAGACACAATTTTCGCCCATTATTACAACATGTAAATTGAAAATTAAATGCAAGTTGTACAGCTGATTGACAGATAAATTGTTTTTTTGTTTTCAGGCATCTGGGATCAGTCAACCCAGTGTATACCATGCCTTGGTTGTTATATTTCTGGAGTTCTTTGCCTGGGGACTAGTGACTAGTCCTATTATTAATGTAAGTATTTTAGGCCGCATTCCATGGGCACAAATTGTCGTTGCAAAAATATTTTCGTTCCTACAAATCCGGTGATATTCTTCGTTGAAATCCGGACTATTTATTGATAGTAAAATTCATAGTGCGCGAGGTCACTGGACAGAATTCAGCGTTGTTCGCCGCGTCACGTGATCATTTTTTCCACAATCGACCAATCACGTTATTGTCTACATTCGCGTGTGTTGTTGGTAAACACAAAATGGCCTGCTTCACGAGGAACACATTGCAGTTATACATGTAGAAGCTACACTAAATGGCGACAAAGGCTCAATTAACTTGTATTGTTCACTTAGACAGTGTTAATAAGGGAAGTGCAGAACCCTTTACAAACACAAGGTGAGATAAATGTTGTGAGGTAGCTATAGACTGGTTTCAATTGGATGGAAATGACCAATCCATTGCAGCATTTTTCGATACAAATGGATATTTTATTACGAAGGATATTATATTGAAGATACAGTCGGCAGTGGTTTTGGATTTCATCCAACGTTTTATAGATGTTTTAAGAACAAAACAGTTAAATGATGCGAGAAAGAAAGAGAGTGACTCAGTGATAAGGCAGCGTCTACATTCAGTCCAACCGAAACAAAACTGTCACGACATACATACAGACTATTAGTATTAGTATTACTGTGATGTGGTCATAATATATTTTACCAAACATTATTTAACAACTTACTATTAGTATATTAATCATTCGACAAAAATAGCAATTCACTCATAACATAATATTTTAAACACGGTTTCACCAAACCTTCAACAAGATATGACCACTTCTATTCCAACTAGTAGAAGTAATAAATAAATGTAATAAATAAAGGTGCATCATATATAGGCTACAGACCATAAGTCCAGAAAAATTTGTGAATGAAAGAATTGAATATAACCATCCAAGTCAACCCAGAACATTGCATGCTGTGATTCAAAGGAAAAAGGGGATTAATCAAAGTTTTTGATAATCCCTAATTAAGTCTTTCACACCCCACTGATAAAGTAACATGAGCTGAACATTAATGTCCAGTCGACACAGTTCCTTTTTATTTAAATAATTTGCTTGCATGTAAGGGTCTGTAGCAGAGGAAGGAAACTGGGGGACTCGGAGAAAACTCACAAGGTTGAACAAGTGACCCTAGTCCTTGTCACGTACAAGCAGAGAATTGTAATTAAGTCATTGACGCAATGACAGACCTTATGATTTCATGTGTACATGTTAAACCATTTGCCACCCACCCTCCATATTAAATAGATGTCTTTGTAAATTATGTATGTTATAGTTATACAGTGTATTAAGTATTAAATGTCTACAGTGTTTTTAAATTTATGTATTAAAGAAATGTATATGAAAATATTATCTATTAAGAAATATTGGTATTTATATTATGCAATATTTATATTAATAAATATCATTTGATACATAATATATCAAAATTCAAATGTTCTTTTTGGCCATAATGACCCTAATGTTTTGACTGTTATGTAGTTTTGACCAAAATGTTTGACCGTTATGACCAAATACTTGAGCCATTTTGGTTTAGGGCCTTTATGTCCATAACCCCTACTACTAGGCCTAGTACTTCAACAAATTTAAAAACTAAAAGTGTGTCTCATTCACCCCTACTCCTTCATTAATATCACCAAAGGAATCACATCATGGTGCAGTACTTGTTACTACTTCATCAGAGTTAAAGAAGTCAGTTTTATCAGAGAGCTGTATAATTTGCAAGAAAAAATCCAAGTATGTTCGAGCGGGGGCCATACAAAAGAGGGACAATTTAGTCCAGTGCGAAATAAAAACAGCATTTTTATTATTTTATTTAAAGCACCAATAACACTTTTGCTGTTTTGATAAGTCCAGTGAAACAAATACCGGTAGCCTTATTCTAACTACTAAATGAGTTAGTGTCTTACTCTTACTAGTCTTAGTGTAAATCCTCCATTAAATTCTATTTTATTTATCTTAGGTGATCAGAAATATTTTTCAAATCAAAGGTAATTAGTTTTGGATTTGATCGACTACATGTACAGTATCTGTTATAATTGTTTAAAAAAATCAGAATATTTATTAATCAGAAGCAAGATTCCAACATTGAAAGTGTGTTTGGCACTTTTATCGATGATTACATGTAAACTATGTCGTAGGTGAGCCCCATATTGATGGGGGGGGGAGCATCTGGTTCATTCGCAATTGCAGACAAAACCCATTTTGAATTCATATATCTATTGCAAGCTTATACATTGTAGATGCAAAATTTTATTTTGTCCATATGGGCTTTTCCCTGACAATTCTGAGCTAGTTCAAATTATTTAAGCATTTCTTCTTAATATTTCTGCAACTTTTTAAGTTTTCAACCTTTATTTCAAAATATGTTTTTTCATTCTTAATCTTAGCTATACACTAGCCTATCCATGATCATTATCAAGACAGCAGGCTAGACAGGTTTTAAGTATTTTGTTATGTAAAATGAATGATTTTATTAGAATTACACTTATAGAAGCAGTGACCTTGTTGCATTCTCTGTAATCTCCCTTGATATTAAGGCATTTTTATAGTGAAATAGACCGGTCCAATATCCTTAATCAGTGTCGAAAAAACCTGACTGACTGCCACATTTTATGTCATTGTGATCAAAATACCTTTTGTGGCTCTCATACACCACTTCTCTACACGGATGGGACGTTTTTAGGGTTCATTTGACTCTGTTCGTCCCAACCGCGAGCGATTTGCAAGGTAAATCGTTCGCATGGCTTTGTTTACAAATGCTATGACCTGGCACTTGACCCCAGAATTTTTGACCGCAAGCGAGACCGCTGATTGGCCAAATTTTAAATAGATGCGCAGGTTCCAACTCACCTCTCTGCAAATATGGCTCCGCACTATAAAGAAATAAGTCATCGATTTATAGCCTATTTCGAGCTTGAACTATTAAATTGGCAGATTTTATTGGAGAACTTTGTTGACATATTGATTGCACGATTATTGATAGTCCGATTTGTAGACCGGTTTAGCGGGAGCGAAGGTGACAAGATTTTCACCCCGAGAATACGGCCTATTTGCAGAATAAAGACAAATCTTTATGATACATGTATGTATGTGTAGTATGTTATGTACGTGTACCAGTGATACATGTATATGATAGTATTTTGTTTTTGGCTATCCATGAGTGTAACGGTGCATAAATTTCAGGCTTCAATATTTAACCAGCATCTATTGCATTTGTCTTACTCACAATATTAACAACTTCAAAAAGCCTTCTCAGGGTCTGACCCTGAAATTTTTAAAATCTTGATAACTGAACAACACACATATTGTGTTTTGAAATTGGGAAATTGCCTTTTAATGGTGTTAAATCACTTAAAAAGAGTTAAAGAAAAATCAGTTATTATTTAGTGCTAACATGGGTCCTAATGATCTCCGGAAAATGCCTCTTATTTCGAAGCAGGAAACTACAGCTATTTTCATGTTGAGAGTGATAATGACGCTTTAACCCTTTATCCGTGAGACGCTAATCAGGAGGCTATGACCTATAAGTAAAATGACAATAATTGTTAAATATTTTATACCAATGAATAGAGGAATTCAAAATATTTCCAAAAATATATACATTTTTATGAGTTATTCTTAAGTTTAAAGAGTTGCAGGCTATACTTAAACATGCATTATGCAAGAGCTAAATCTGCCTATTGTACGTCTTTCTTTAGGCCTGAAATGTTATATAAACTATTAATTAGACATTAATTAACGTATCCAGACCATAATCAACTCTCGATATCAACGCTAGCCTGCGATATTTGTTGGATTATGATGCGATTTGCTGCATAACTTTCCTTCTCAATTTAACGATTAAATGGATAATCAAGACTATGATTTTTGTCCTACCGACTTTAGTAATGATGACCGAGGCTAGGCGGAACTTTCGTTCACTTATTTCTCGGTTCATAGTGGATCAATTTGACTGAAATTTTCAGCAAATTGCCGTTACATTATCTAGTTTTTATACGCCCACATTTTCATGTGGACGTATATTGAGTTCAAATTTCGTGAAAATCGGCCCAAAACTGACAGACAAAATGGCCGCCCCTCGTTCTCAAATTGCGTAAAAATATGGTATATCAAGGTTGTGGACCCTATAGAGGTCACAATTTTTATCCGATTTTGTTGAAACTTGAAATGTAAGTTTATAACCCAAAGATCTTGGTTCCTTTCGATATTTGCGCATATCGAATTGTAATTTCCTGAATTATGGCCCTTGATTGTAGGAAAAATCACTTTCGTTTTAGCTTGTTTTCTATCCATCTCTCGAAAATGTAGGCGTATCCTGCCTGGCAGCCGCTGGTTAACTATTGTAGTGAGAACTGTCAACTCGTTATCTAATCTCCCATAATGTATCTTTAACTATATGCTTTTTCTAGTTGAAGCCCCAAAACAATCTGACGGTTAAAGGGTTAAAGAATGGTCTTTATGCCTTTTTATTGTCTATCTTTCCTTGATTCTTCCAGAACCAGTTTGTTTTCAGCAATTTATTATGTTTCACATAATTATATACTAGTCCAAAAAGTTTGACTAATTTCATAGTATTTCTGTTGTTATGGTATTCGTCATTTTATGTCCCCCCGCCTTTTGAAGAAAGCAGGGGACTATAAAAATGGGTTCGTACGTCTGTCTGTCCGTCACAATAACTCTTTTTTAATTGAGGTATAATGTTTAAACTTGGTGTAGGTGATCATTAGGTCAATGCCTTGATGGGGTTTGAAGATGAGCATTTTCTGCTTAGGGTAAGCAGAGATAAGCAATTTGATTGGTTGATGCTTTGGGACACGATAACTTATGTTCTAATTAAGTGAGAGTGATGAAACTTGGTGTGTAGTTTCATTACATCGATACCTTGACTAAGTTCGATAATGAGCATTTTCTGCTCAAGGTAAGCAGAGCAATAAGCTATTTGATTGACAGAGACTTTGGA